TAGACCTGTACTGAATCTTGTAACACTTTGGAGACAAGAATGAGGACGCTGCAAGATTTTCAGGTATGTTCTGACTCGAGGCTGCTACTTTTTTCTTTAAACTCAACTGCCGACTTTCTTAAAAGGAAAAAGTTGCTTACTCTTGGTGCTTTACTCCTCCCTCCCTTTTTTTTGTTCAATGTGATAATCTCTGGTGGTCAATTTCTATCTTCTTTTGCCTTCCTAACAGTAAAGGAGAGTCTCAAATTACTTGACCCTTTGCTTCGATTGCCTGCCCCTAATTTAGTTTTCCTTCTTTTTCTCACCAATGTGAATCAAGTCCATACTGACACTTTTATGATAACCGAATGTTGTACACTGCAGGTTTATTGCTCAGTTTGAGTAGCATGAGGGTAGAAATTTGTGCTTTTACCAAGCATTATTGGCATTTTACAAACATGTATGTCCAGACAACAAAGATGTATATAAATATATTAGGCAAGGAATTCTTTTTTGGTCCAGATAGTTATTACCAGGAAAACGTCCCACTTATAAAAAATTCTAGCATTAAATTTTTCTTGTGAATCTTAAACTTTTAACATTTCTTCTGATTATAAACATAAAAACACTTTGGAGGAAATTTGGAAGAAATAGAAATCTACTTCTTAAAAGGGCAAATACATAATAAAATTATGTATTTTAGGCTTCAGATCTACATATGCAACTGCAAATTGAATTATTTCCATGAGAAGTTTCACAAGCACCTATAGTTTGGTATGGAAAACTGAATAAACTCTGTTGCAGGGCTGGAGCTCCTATCCATAGTCACCCAATGCAGAAACCTAGCACTCAGCCTAGACTCCTTTCCCTATCTCCTATGTCAAATTGACCATAAAATCTTTCTTCTTAATGTAGTCTTTAATTAGCAAATGTTTATTGCGTGCCTCCTCTCATGGAGTAGTGATGACCTACTCATCTTCTTGCTTCCTATACAGTATTTTTCAAATGTTGACACCATGGTGCTTCTGGAATGATGTTTCTAAAATACATGTTTGATCTTTCAATGAATTCCAATAGGTCTCAGAGAAAAGTTCACATTCTTTAATTTGGTCACAGTAATCTTCACAATAGGATATTTGCCAGCTTCATCTCTTTCCATTCCTAACTCATGACATCTTAAATCCTAAACAACTAGCAGTTACTCAAATATGACATGTTTTTTGATTCCTTTTTGTTTTTGCAGAATGCTCTCCATATCTTCTTTTATTTTAATAATTATAATGTTTATTTGTTTTGTGTTAGTTCAAATTTAGATAAGTCCAAGAAGCCTTTCTGGCCTCAATATGAAATATATACCCCTCTTCCTATTTTACATAGCGTATAGTACATGTCTCAATGTTAATATTTATCATTCTTTGTATGTTGTTTGTCTGTCCCACAAAAATATAATGTCCTTAGGGGAGGTATTATAACAGGCATATAATAGGTACTTGATAAATGTTTGGTAAATAGAGAAATGATATTTGTTTGGAGGTTGCTTTTTACAATTTGGATTAACATTTATTTTTATATAGAATAAAAGAAGCATTGTTATTATCAGAATTACCTTTTCAGTCAAGAAAAAGTTAAAACTAGCAAGGTGACCATAGAACTGAGACATACAGCAAAGGAGGAGGAAAAAGGAGGTCAAAATAGGTGAGGAAAGAACACATGGAAATAGGGTGAAATAGGGTTCACAGGTGAGATGGTAGTGGGAGAACTATGGGGATTACTATGATGTAAGGAAAAAATTAACAAAAAATAATACTGTACATAATACATTTGCCATACCAAAACTTTTGCTAGAAGCAAGTTCTGGGAGTAAAATAAGGATTTATTTAAATGATGGATAACTAGGAAAACTAGGATAGGAAGGAAAATTTGTCAGTCAGATGCTGATGAGTGGGGGAAATATTCTAAACAGAAAAATTACAATGTAAATAATTTAGTCAGAGCAATTTTGATACTATTTAAATAAATGCTCATATATCTAAAATTCTTCAGAACAATATTCATGTTTTAAAGTTGATGACCAAGTGTAATATTTGTTAGTATTTGCTATAGTGCTCATTATATAAGATGTTTAAATAAAAATGGCTTTCTACTTTCATTGATATTACATCTGAGAATATGAAATAATTGAGATGTGTTAGCTATATAAAGAAAACTATAAATCTTTGTGCATTATTTAAAATTTTTTAACCTAGCAATTTACATCTGGGACTAGAGTACAAATAAATGATACTGTTATGTATGATAAAATGTAGATATTAATAATAATACCTCAGGTTGTTTACAGGAATTAATTCTGATTGTGTAAACAAAACCATTCCCATGGCTTTAATAAATGTGAGCTGCTGTAATGAATATTTTTTCCTTATTTTCTAAGTTAGAAATAAATCATTTGCAGATTTTAAAAAATACACAACTACTAATGAATGGGGGAAAAAATCAGTCATGCACTCCTAATCACTCCTACCTGCATCATATATTCCTAAAAATTACAAAGTTATAATGATGTGTAGTGGGAGGTAGAGGATCTAATGTTGGACGAATTCTATCTACTAAGGATTTTGCTAGGTTAGTTTGGGTTGGAGTGGAGTTTAAAACTATGGCAGACAAGCTTTGAAAACAACCTAAGGATCTAAAACAAATGAGTGAATCAAGAGGATATAGTATATATACACAGTGGAACACTATCCACAACATGGATGAAATTGGATTTAGGGGGCCTCCTTGGTGGCACAAAGGGTTAAGATGCAGCACTGTGAAGCTCTCTGCAGCTATTGTAGCGTGAGTTCGATCCCTGGCCAGGGAGGTACACATGGTACAGCAGACCTCTCCTGTCTCACCTTCTGCTCCCCTCAGCAGTGTATTTCAGTAGATCTGCCTGTGCTGTTCCCCACTCTGTGTCTGGTGAATCCTCTCACCCGCCTGCCCCCCCCACCTCTGGCCTATACCCCAGTCTTATATGCATAAGTAAATAAATCTTTTTAAAAAATGAAATTAGATTTGGGGTTATGCTAAGTGAAGTAAATTAGAAGGAGAAAGACAAAACACCACATGATTTCATGCAATATGGAATACAAAAAAACCAAAGAAGCAGACCTTGAAATCTGACTGCAGAACTGAGGCTACCAGAAGCGGACATTGAGGGTAGGGAGCAAAGTGAGGAGGGGATCGAGTGGACTATGGTAGAGGATTTTGGTGGTTTGGTGGTGGGTATGGTGTAATAACCTACATTTGTAGAGGTATGCACCAATAACACATAAAGCAAACAGTATTATACACCAGTTACATTAAAAAAAAATTTTAAAAAACTGAAAAAAAGAAACTTGACAATAAAATGGATGAAGATGCCTTATAAAGTCTTACTATTGATATTGAGCTCTTACTATTGAAATTTGGATAAGGAGTTCAGTTTTTATTACTTTGTGTGGTTTTGACTATCTCAGTAAGTTTTATCCAAGCAAAATGTATTTCATTATTCAGAGAAAGGAAATGGATGTTTATCAAGTTCCATGTATATTCAGCTGAAAGATTTATATAAAATAATACTAATATTTTTGACTGCCTTATATTCTAGTAGTTTTTTCTTAAGTGTTTCAATTTTGGTTTATATCTTTATAGAATGTAAATTCCAGGAAGGCAATATGGTTTTTCTCATTCTTCTGTCCCGGAGCATAGTACTTGGGATAAAGGGATAAATACTTGTTCAACAACATATAAATGGGTTGAAGGCAACCTTATTGCAACTAATGTGTTCTATGCTTTGATTCAAATGAATTCAGAAAGTGTACTTTGATTTATATTAAAGAACAGCATTTATAATGCCAAATTTACAACTATTTTTCTAACCATTTTTTTTCTTTCTCATATTGAATAATCTGAATCACTTTAGTTTGTCCTAATATTAAATTATTCTCAGGTTCTAACTTTGGAAATAGCAATGATTAACTAGAATACCCTAGTAGAGTTTTATTTATTTCCAAGCTAAACTGTTACCCAGTGAATGGTCATTGCACATAATCAGAATTGTCTAAACTATTTATGACTCATGTAAAAGAAAAATTGTGCACAAAATGAATTCATATTATTTTAAGAGGTTTTTTTCTATCACTTTCTTTTTTGTTCTCTTTCTTTTTTGGCTAAATTATAAGACTTCCTAAAGTAAATATTTAAGAGTTCCTTATAAGACAAATTCCTTAGAAAACAAGAGTGAAAAAAAGTGGTTATATCTTATTTTGTCCCGTATTTGTTCATATTCTAGAAAAGGTGCTTATTATGTTCATGACTCGTGTAAACATATTCTTAAAACCTTTTGGACCTCCCCGGTGGCGCAGGCAGATGAGCTCAGCACTGTGGAGCTGTCTGTAGCCTCTGCCGCGCAGATTCTATCCTGGCCAGATGGAGAGATACCCCATGGCACAGCAGACCTCTCCTATCTCGCCGGCTGCTCCCCTCAGCAGTGTATTTCAGTCAGTCTGCCTGTTCTGTTCCCCGCTCTGTCTCGTGAATTCTCTTACCCTCCCGCACATCTGACCTGTACCCCAGTTCTTGTATTCATGAATAAATAAATCTTAAAAAAAAAACTTTAGTTTAAATTTAGAATATTATAAAGAAAATAGTATGTATTTTCCATAATATCAGAGGATATTTTGTATTGTTTTTAATGACTATGCTTAAAGTACTGTTTTAAAAATGCAAAATGTGGTTACTGAAAAATCAATGTTTTACATCCAATATATATTTGTTATATTTACTGTGAGTTTTAGCAATATATTGTTTTCTATTTCATCTGTGAACACAGCATAACTTTCAGTTAAATGTATGTTATAGTTATAACAGCCTTTAAATATATTCTCTTGATTAACCTAACCTAACATCCCTTCTCTTTGTCTTTTTGAGTAACAGCATGCTTCTTCAGCTCTTTAATTAAATGATCTTACCTTACATTTGTCTCGACTGGCTTCTGTTTACAGAAATTGTAAACCAATTGAATGCTCTGAGCAGCTTAGATGAAGATCAAGATGACTGCATAAAACAAGCAAATATGCCTTCAGCTAAATCAGCCAGTTCTTCTGAAGGTCTAAGAGCTTTCTTCCTTTCTTTCTGCTTCTGATTGCCTGTATTTACTGTGACCTGCTACCTCTTGACTTCTGTCTCTACTCAACTGTCAGTTTTGTCTTTGTGTTTTTCCTTCAGTGTTTTCTTTGGTAATTCGTAGTGTACCAACAAGCAACAACTTAATAGGCTTTATCATCTTTAGCAAAATTTTATTTCAGTATCCTTAATAGGCAGTGATTTTAAAACATAAGATGATAATTGTTATATAACATTTCTCCATTTAGCGTCTATATTATAACTATATAGTTTTAAAAATATATAAATCCATTGGGCTTAAATCCATTGGGATTATTCATTTTTAGGACTAAATGTTTTTTTCCTAAAAACCAATGTCAGCACTTTTCATTGGATCAAATTAGTTTCAGATGAAAGTTTCTCTAGTTCATTATCTGATAAAATTTTCAAATTTATATGCATTTGTTCATTTTGTTTTATTTGAAAATGTTGGTATGCTACAAAATACTTGAATGGCATTCTACCATTGGTAAAATGCTATGTATCTTATTGGCAGGTATTATTAGTGTGATTTTTTTTTTTTTAACAATTTGAAATACTTTATGGATGATCAACAATTATGCTTAACTGCAACCATTGTGAATTAAGACATATGTTTGTTTTCAGAGCTTATCAACAAACTTAACTTTTTGGATGAAGCAGAAAAGGACTTGGCCACTGTGAATTTAAATCCATTTGGTGATCCTGATATAGCAGACTTAAATCCATTTGGAGATCCTGACTCAGAAGGTAGCAGATTTTTTTTCCCCCTGTATTTTTAGTCTTTTATAAATACTCTTGAACTGTTAGGGCAGGAGGAAGTTTTTTTTTAAGACTCAGCAATTTTTGTTGATAATATTATGCTCAATACTATTTTCAGTTGATAACCAATTCTGGGTGGCTTCTATTATATTGGTTTGTTTGTTTGTTTGTTTGTTTGTGGGACCCTTGCTGGTGGCCGGGGATCGAACCCACGCTGCAGAGGCTGCGGGCAGCCTCGCAGCCCAGCGCTCAACCACTGCACCACCAGTGGAGGCCCTATTATATTGTTTTAAAGAAAAATAAAGCTTTACATTGATATTTATGTAGGGCTTATATTTTCATTCTTTGTTAGTATAGTAATAGAATAGAAGGTAAAGCTCTAATGTTGGAAATAACAGTATTTTACCTGTCAGCCGTTGAGTTAAATCTCAGTAGTTTGGCTTACCAAACAAGGTCAGGTTGTGGGATATAATGATATCAAGGTGCTGGTGGGCCAGCTTCTTTCTCTATTTAGCTCCTCTGCCTTTACCCTCAGAGTCTGATGAGCATATCCACACACCCCCTCATTCCATGTCTCTGGGTGAGAATTACAATCAGAGGGAGAGTAATTTGTACACATAAATAGCACAGAGAAGATCAAAAACCATACTTGTAAAGAATAAAACCAGGAGTTTTATTTTTTCTTCAGTCATTTTTCTTATGTAGTTTTGTACTCTTAAAGCTTGATCAGGTAAAAGCTGTCAAAAAAGTGAGACTTCTGTTTAAACTCTACTCAAAGTGAATACAAGAATGATTAACCACTGTTTACATATTTTAGACTGCTTTTATGAAAATCTTCATGATATTTAAGGAATTTTGCTACTGTTTATCTTGGTGAAAATGAGGTATCAACTTTGGGGTTCACTTTGATAGAGCAATATCCTTTTGTATCATCATTCCTTCTCTTCCTTTACTTTCTGCCTCTTACTAGATTCTAAATTAGTAATTTTAAATTAATGAGATTTTATTTTATTTGTGAACTGTCTAGTTGAGAACATATTTTAAATCTTTATGGTTACACTAAATCTTTGAGGTAATCTAATGATGGTTCAGTTGTCTATTCATAGATCAGAAAGTTGATGCCCAGCAGAATTAAGTGATTTGAATAAAGAACTTTAGGTAAATGGAAGTGGAGGAGAGCTAAGATTCCTAATCAGGAATTTACTAACTTCTTTGAACTACTAACTTCTCCTTGATTGTGTTTTGTAAACATCTAAATACACAAATCTTAAAGATTATTTCCAAAATATTTTGAGACATCAGTATTTGAGCTTTCCATTTCAAAATCAAATAAGTAATTTTTCACTACATACCAGTTTGTGAAAATTTATCAGAGGACTGTACAGTCCTCATTTAAAAAGAAAGTGGTACAAGTAAATATTTTCATTATGGTGAAAAAAGAAAGAAAAAAACCAAATAATTTTTCTAAATATATGTGGGTCTGTTTTCTGAAGTTTAGGAAAGAGTAACAGATGACACCTAATATTATATTTCTATTTGGTAAATGTTAGATATTAATTCCTGATTCAGAATCTTCAGTCATCTCTATAGAGTTATGGAAAAAATATGACAACAAGCATTCTCTTTAAATATATACCTTTAAGAGTCTTGGAGTTATTATGTATTAGAAGAATATTTGTTTTTCTAGAAATAACTTATTTTTATTGATTAAAAACTTACATCCTCAAGTAATGAAAATATTTGAAGAAGAGAAATATGTGCAGTTCCTTTTCTTTTCCTTCTTTTTTTTCACTTTTGCAACTTTGATTCTCCTCTTAGATTCATGGCATTCTGTGCTTTAGTGACCCTTTTAGATAATTATTAAATGTATTTGTTCGCTTTAATGTGAAATAACACTATCTTAAACCCTCCTTGGTTGCCAATTCTGTCATCTTCAAATCTTGCTATATAGTTTGAATACTTTCTTACTTTTGGTTTTGTAACTGATGAATTTACTTGAATCAATTTTGCAATCCTCTTCCTGAAAATAAATACAAAAACCTTATTCCATTGACCTGTTTTGTCAGTTTCATAAGAATTTGTTACTTAGTATTTACTAATAAAAAATAACTAGGGAAACTTGGTAGTCTTTTCCTTCAGAAAAATGAAACTACTTCATTTACATTATTATAAAGAGTCTAGTGGTGTTAAGTTTGAACATTACCATGTTGTTACAAAAGATAGACAGTTACTGAGTGTCTTCTGTAGCATAGACTATTTAAATTCATGTCAGTATTGATTTATTAGGATTTTATGAATTGTTTTTCATACTTGATAATTGCTTCCCAGTGGTCTATGGAATTTTAACTTAGAAAAAAGTTTTAATATGAAAGACAATAAGTTTTTTGATGTAATCTCTAAGTACAAAAAAGAGTAGTTTGACATTAAAATATGAAAGTCATAAATATGTCAATTATAAAGTTTTTATAATAGATTAAATTGTTTGAAATGTTACTTTTCTTGGGAATTTCAGTAATCCATTTTCTGTATTCCTGAATGTTTTGTTAGAGTTGCTTGGCATAATAAAAATTACTTTTGAACAATCCATGATTTATTAGCTCTCTGAAATGTTTCTAAAATTTAAGAAAATATTTGCTTTTATCAGTAAAATTCATGATCAATTTTGGACAGTTTCATTACAAATTCTAGTTTTGTTTTAAAACGCTAGTTACCCATAAAAGAAGTAAAGGGTTAGCACTCAGCACTTCTATACATATTGTTGGAGTATGTGATCCTGTAGTGATTTTTGTGCTTGAGTCAGTTTTATCAGATTGCAATTTGAAATAGTAAAATTTTGAAGAATTTGATGTAACATGTCTATCAGCTTCTCAGTATGATTTTAAGGTAGTGCTTTTGACCTAAAAATTCTTGTTTTTCTATTGCATTATTAGCATATTGATTGGTTCTGAGTTAAATTGAAAAAACTCAAATGTCTCATTAAATGCTCTAAAGGTTTGAGGTCTTAAAGCATATAGAAATCTCCTGCACTGCTGGTGGGAGTGCAAACTGATCCAACCACTATGGAAAGTTGTGTGGAGATTCCTCAGCCTGCTAAAGGTGGAGCTTCCATATGATCCAGCAATTCCACTCCTAGGTATTTACCCAAAGGACACAGAAACATTAATTCAAATGGGCACCTGCACCCCTATGTTTATAGCAGCACTATTTACAATAGCTAAGCTTTGGAAACAACCCAAATGCCCAAAAATAGAAATCTATTCTTTGAAAACTATGAAAACACATTCAGTGATATATGAGTATATTTTTGATAATGCTACAGAATGAATAGTCAGATCCCTATGTAGTCTTTGCTTGTGTAACAACAAACACCGTTTCAAACTTTCACCCATTGTATGTTATTTTAAAAGCAAATATTATACCTTAGTTAAGGCTGCTTTTATCCTAAGCTTTATTATCCTGTCAACATCTCTATTTAACACAGTATAAACAAATTTGTTATCTATCAGTTTGAGATGACAAGCTGGTATAGCAACATAGAATAAGCAATAATAAAATATTATACCTTTAAGAAGTTTAAAAAATTCCAAAATTGCTATCCATTTGAAAGCCTAAGGGCATTAACAATCCAAATTCCATTTTAGGGAGAACTATTTCTAGAGCAGTAGGCAAAAATCTTAGATACCACATTTTCTAAACTTAATTCATCTAAAACTTATAATTGATTTGAATTCATTTGGTGCCACAGCTTATTAATTCAAGAGTGAGTATTTTTGAAAACACTAGAAATATAAGAAAATATCAGATAATACTAATTTGATATAATTCATCTTTTGTTACTGTTTTATAGAACCAATTACTGAAACAGCTTCACCTAAAAAACCAGAAGAATCATTTTATAATAACAGCTATAGTCCCTTTAAAGAGGTCCACACTCCACAGTATTTGAACCCATTTGATGAGCCAGAAACCTTTGTAACTATAAAGGATTCTCCTCCCCAGTCTACAAAAAGAAAAAACATAAGACCTGTGGACATGAGCAAGTACCTCTACGCTGATAGTTGTAAAACTGAAGAAGAGGAGTTGGATGAGTAAGTACATTTCATCTTGCAATCATCATCGCTCAGTATCTTAACTAAAGAGATCTGTCTGTAATGTATCTTTGGATGAGTAAAAAGAACTCTGTTCCTATTTTAATATGTAATTTACAAGTTAGTGTTTATTTCATCCCCATCTAAATTTTTATTATTGTGACCCCTTCCTTATTCTCCCACTCTCTTCAATGTGTGTGTGAATCCTCAACTAACAAATGAGGGGAGAGTAACTTCCCTGGATCTCTGGTTAGAATTTCAGTTGTTTCTTCCCACAAGAACCATATTATAAAGGGTACTTACATGTTTTTAATCAATTCCTGTAGGCAGTACACATCATTTATGTTATGGGCCTATCATGGGAACCAAATAATTATTCATAATATTGATTGAATGAGAAGACTTGTTCAGATGCCAAACAATGAGATCATTGTATTTGTAAATAGGAATTAACTGCACTTGAGTTATTATTTTTACCCAAATAAGTAGATCATTGACCACAGGCTCAAGATAAATGGCCAGTGTGATTACAGCTTCCATTTTACTCAGATCTAGAATGAGGATAGAAGGAGTATTTGTTCACATTATACTTTGGAGTTGTATGTTGTACACCTGTTTGGCAGCCAACTATGACTCTGAGTATGTTTAAAAAGCAAGAACGAAGCATCCATTTCTGGTCATGATGGATTAACACAGACTGGACATTGCATCTTGAGTCACACAACTAAAAAACTGACTAAAATGTGTAACACAATGGTTTTAAGACATTAGATACAAATAGCGCAAGACTGTGACCCCAAAGAGAAAAGAACAAAGAAGATAAGCCCTCTGACTGTTCAGGAAGGAGTTTTCAACTGCAGTTCCAGGAGAAAAAACCATACTACTCTCCCTGCATTGCTGCAATGGAGTTGAACTTTGGGAGTAGTGAGGTGGCTAGGATTTGTGGACAGAGTATTGGAAAGGAGAAAAGTATTCATAGAGTTTCAACGATCTATAGAAAGTTCATTTTGAGTTTTAAGTCTGTAGCTGAGTATTTATCAGAGCATGCATATGAAGAAATTACTGAGGACAAAGAATCAGAACAATCCCTTACTTCATCCAGGATCAAGAATACTTTGTGTTTCTACCAACTACAGAGGAAAGACTTCATATAATACATGGGACATCAGCTTGAGTCATCAGCTGAGACATGTATTGTCACAGTAATGGGGCCAGATTAACCCTATTCTTAAGACTGTTAGGAGTCTGTCTGACAAAGTTTAAAAGCAAGACTGAAAAGAATCAAAATAGATCAAAATAACTTAACTGGATCCCACACAGAGCCCAGCATTATTAAATGTACCAAACAATTCAGTACCTCAAACATAAAATCCATAATGAATGTCAGGCAACTAATCAAAAATTTATCAGTCATGTAAATAAGTAGGAAAACCAGACTCATAATGAGGAAGAAACTCAATCATTAGATACGGATGCAGAAATGGCACCGACAACTGTGATAAAATAACTATTGTAAATATTGGCTGTTTAAAATATAAATAATAACAAATTCTGAGTATTACAATATATGTAGAAGTAAAATGTATAACATTAGTAGAGAAATGAAGAGTACTGTTTTAAGTTTCTTATACATAGTGTTACTTGATTTCCTATTTTTTTCCACTGATGACATACTACTTTTTATAAACAGTCATAAGGACTCTCCAAAAAGCTGATTAGAACTAAAATGTAAATTTAGCAAGGTTACAAGATATAAAGTCATTTTACAAATTTAATGATGTTTCCCCATAGTGATAGTGAACACTCAGAAGTAGAATTCTTTTTAAATACTGTATGCAAAAGCATGCCCTCAAAAGAATACCTTTTGATTAAATTTGAACAAAGATAGGCAATATGCTGCACACTGAAAATAACAAAAACATTCCTGAGAGCATTTAAAGAAAGAAATCAGTGAGAGCATAATATTATAGCCATGACTTTAAATTGATCTATAGATTCAATGAACATAATTTGTATGGGTGGAGGGATCTTTAAAATATATAATATATTCAAAAACTTGAATGAAAATCACATTGATGAATTTTAGTATATGAGTATTATTTAGATCTTGGATAATTATTTCTTTAAAATACTATTTCAGTATTTAGTATGAAATTTTTTCAGAATATGGAGTACATTTATGTGTTTCTTAACGATGAGGATACATTCTGAGAAATTATTAGGTGATTTCTTCATTGTACAATTATCATAGAGTATAATTACATAAACCTAGATGAAATAGCTTACTGGGAGCACTGTCATATAGTAGTCCATGATTGACAGAAATGTCTGGTCAGCACCATATGACTATATATGGGTTGAGAGGGGGATAATAAAAAACTCCTTTGATGCATGAAAGTTGGGGGCAATTATCTTATGTGAAGAGAGAAATGACATCTTTCTCCTGTGCTTTAGTGCTCTTATTTTGAACAGCATTTGTCTTGTTAGGCACTGTACTTTACAAGGGGCATTGATGATTCAAAGGGTTAACAGAGTAGACCAAGAGTCGTTAAAGTATCTAGAAACCACATCAAATGAACAGTGATTGAGACATAGGGACTGTTTGACTTAAGAAAGAGATGATTTAAGGGAACTATAATGATCAAGTTCAAATATTTGAAAGACTTATTTCAAAAAGCAGGGTAGTTGACTTGTTTTCTTTTGCTCTGGAACTACATATTTCAACCTTTTCCCATTTTGCAAGGCATGGCTAATGACTCGTGTGCTGCATGCTTCCATGGGCATGACTAGGTTTTGGTAAATCTAAAGTTCTAACCTGCTATAAGTACTTAGAATTACATCATAATAATCATCTGATTCTAAACCCAGGTTGAAATTTCAATACTAATTAATAACTACACAGCAGTTGAAAAAGTTGGCTCAACTCTTGCTAGCTATTATATTTGTTTTCTTTGAAATAACTAATGTGTGATCAAAATAAAATTTCTCATGGGTGGTGTAGATGCTGAGTAATAGCCACACACCTAGAATATTTGAATGCAAATGCAAACTTTAAGTACAAGCATTCAGTCATTCCAAAATGCATAGTATTACACAACACACACACACCCACGTGCACACACACACCCACACACACACCCACACCCTGCTTTCTCCTATTAAGAAATTAAAGAAACAGCTAATGTTTGCTTAAACTTTCAAAATGCCTTAATAAAAATTAAAAATCAGAATCAATAGGTGTTTCCTTTTGAACATTCTTTATTCCAAATGAAAGTCACAGTCTTTACAAGTTTCCCATGAATAAAGAGCATTCTAAATTGCTCAATCATCTGAAGTTACCAGAGAGAACCTATAAACACTTCACCATATTTTATAAGACTATACATACGAATTCAAAAAATTGCTCTTCAACTAATGTGAAAGTCCAGGAGGAACTCTGTATTAATTAATTATTTGGTAGTTTTCACCTCTTCAAAAATTTTTAGGCCCAAAATTTGTTCTTACTTCAATAATAAACTTACGACCTTTTCATGAAGGGAAAAGCTTCTGTGACTCATCTTCCATTAACAAACTTATCCTGTATCCTGCAACATAAAACTATCACAAATGAGTAGTGCTGAGTCCCTTGATGTGTAAAACAACTTTCAGAACCTCACTATATCATTGAGCACCAAGAGAAAGTATATACCCTCCACGTGCTTTTAGCATGTGTCCTTTGCACTTAGAAATCACATGAATTTCTCATGTTTTGAGGGTTAATTGAAATTATTGCTTGTCAGTTTTCTCTTTTCTACATAAACATTTATGAAGTTACTTTTTGTGGTTCAACATGAAATCATTTCAAGTATGTTGTGTGTCAAAAGTTGTCACTGAATTTTACTTGAAGAAGATATACGTTCATTTTAATAAATTTGGATTATTTTTCCAAAGAGAAACAAATTTTCAATGTGAGAGGAAGACTGTAGATTTCACCTTACCATTACTTTATATTTTTACTTTTTCACTATGTTTGTTAATCCTGTGTCTAATCAACATTTGTTTTTATTTCTATAGTTCTTTGTCCTCAATGAACCTTTTTTTAAACAGTGAATAATGTGTTTTAAAATTTTTCTGTTCAATTTTCCACTTAATTTGACTGATAAATTTTTAATTCATGATGATATAACTATTATATACAATCCCTTGTTTATTCACAGTAATATAGGTAGCTCTGAAATAGATTATTTAAATCACAGATATTCAACAGAATGTGGAAGTTAGGCTAATTCCTACGTAATTTTTCCTTACTGAAAATACTGTTCAAGTATTTTTAAAAGGTTTCAATCAAGCATCCAGAGGGGGCCTCCTCTGGAGGCTGGATAAGAAAAAAGTGGAGGAAGCATACTGGACTATGGTGATTTGGTGGTGGGTGTACCACCATGGTGGCAATATTTGGTGGGGGGTATCCAAATATTACCTCAATTAAAAATAAATAACTCCCTTTGAACTGCAAGACTGTCAATAATATTAGCAGGATAAACAGAATTGTCTTAAGGATTAAATGAATTAAGACATTTAAAATGTTGCTTAGCACAACATAAGCACTTTATAAATTTTGGTAACATTATTACTAAGCTATCCATTCTAGGCTAGATGTGATATTTTTTCCTACCCCTCTTCAAAGAGCACGTTCAAAATACCTCTTTATTTTAATGTTTCTTATCTGATTTCCCCAAGTTCTTCTGCAGGTGGTAAACATGTGATGGAAAGTAATTAATTCAAGCGTAGGTCACTAGACAAAGCTGTTTTGGTCTAAAAAGCTCATTTTCAAATACATTTCCATTTCCTGCTTTTTTCTCTTGAATGCACAGACATGAGAAAATGAAGAACAACAAAAATAGGTTTTGATATAGGTACCATTTCCACTCCATTAAAAACAGCTACCCTTAGCGGAGTTGAGAGTCTGAAGTTATACCCCAGATCAGTGGGAAGAATTTACATGACACTAGTTGATGCCATGAGTAGAGAGTGAGAGTGACATT